TATAAGAGAACGAGAACAACCTGCCTTATGGCGTCATTGTGAGGGTGGGATCAGAAATTCGTGCCGAGCACATTGCACGTGACCTGCCAGTTAAAGGGTAGCCACCCCGATTGCATCGGTGATGGTGAAAACTGCTCACCGGCTGGTGTGAGTGGTGTAAGTAAGTGGAGTTAATGAATGCCTCTCTTTGCTCTTGGCTTGGGAGCTAGGAGCCCAGGCGAGACTTGGCACCAAGTGGACTGCATGGTCGAGGAGAGCCAGCCCTATGACATGGAAAGGAGTAAGGAAGCCTTCATAACGCTCCTGACACATCCCGCGAGCTGATGGGTTTTCCTAGCGCCAGGGGATCATATCACCCAAGCAGACCTCTAGCCAGGACCACAGCCAAACACGGGGACTGTCCCAGGCAAAGCAAGATGTATGATCATGCCCTGACCGGTTTGGCTCAGTGGATGGAGTGTCGGCCTGCGGACTGAAGGACCCGGGTTCGATTCCAGTCAAGGGCATGTATCTTGGTTGCAGGCACATCCCCAGTGGGGGGTGTGCAAGAGGCAGCTGATTGATGTTTCTTTCTAATCCATGTTTCTAACTCGCTATCCCTCGCCCTTCCTCTCTGTGAAAGGGGAACTCTGTGCGCTGGCGATAGCGCTGGTGGGTGCTAGGTACCTGGAGTGACAGCAGCCTGGCTCCGTACGGTGGCTGCGGTGTGACCCTACAGGGCAATGATCAGCAAAATGCGGCTCTCGAGCCACATGCGGCTCTTTGGCCCCTTGAGTGTGGCTCTCCCACAAAAGACCACAGCCTGGGCGAGTCTATTTCGAAGTTTAGAAGAAGTTCAAGTTTTAAAAATGTGGCTCTCCAAAGAAATCCAGTCGTCGTACAGTTGATATTTGGCTCTGTGGACTGAGTTTGCCGACCACTGCTATAGGGCTTTTGCAGGGGTCTCTGCTGGACGGCTCCCCTGGGAGGGGATTAGGAAGTTCGGGGATGCAGGACAGGCCCCTCCTCTGGACGCCCAGGAGCCGAAGCAGGTCTCCCCTTCTTGCTCCTGTGCCCCTCCCTGACCCCCTGGGTCTCTCCACCTGACACACAGGACAAGGTCTGGCTGCTCTTACTAAATGCCATTCTTGTGAACACTGTGCAGTGTTTTACCGATGAGCTGAACCACCATGGGACACGTGTAAGCCAACTGCAAATAAATAAATAAATGAATAAATAAATAAATAAAATTAATACGTAATTATCCAAATCCAATGCCAATTATAGGAAAAAACATCAACACGTGACTGAACGAAGTAGTGTACCTGCACCCACGGTCTCCTCCCCCCTGTTCCCCTCCCCTCCCCTCCGGTGTCTCCTCCAAAACCCGGAGCGGATCGCGGCCCGGGAGCCCCGCGCATGCGCAGGAGCAGCCGGCCGGGCCGCCCCCAACTCGGAAGCCGCCGCTCGGATCCGGCGCCGAAGCTGCTCGGCCGCCCCCGCTGGTCGCCCGCCCGGCCCGCCCGGCCCCGGTGTAAGTGCGGGGGGCCGGGGCGGCGGCCGCGGGGGGCTCTCCGGCGGCGGCCCCGGGGCTCCCTCAGCCGCGCCTCCCGCCGCCGCCGGCGGGTCCGGTGCACCTGTCCGCCGGCACCGTGCAGGGCCGGTCCCCCGAGTCCCCCGTGTCCCCCCGAGTCCCCCCGTGTCCCCCTGCCCAGGGCCGGTCCCCCTGTGTTCCCCCGTGTCCCCCCGAGTCCCCTCGTGTCCCCCCGAATCCCCCCGTGTCCCCCCGAATCCCCCCGTGTCCCCCTGCCCAGGGCCGGTCCCCCCGTGTCCCCCCATGTCCCCCCGTAAACCCCTGCCCAGGGCCGGTCCCCCTGTGTCCCCCTGTGTCCCCCCGTGTCCCCCCGTGTCCCCCAGTCCAGGGCCGGTCCCCCCGTGTCCCCCTGTGTCCCCTCGTGTCCCCCCGTGTTTCCCCTGTGTCCCCCCCCGTGTCCCCCTGCCCAGGGCCGGTCCCCCTGTATCTCCCCCATGTCCCCCCGAGCCCCCCATGCCCCCTGTGTCCCCCCGAGTCCACCCGTGTTCCCCCGAGTGCCCCCCGTGTCCTCCCTGTGTCCCCCCGAGTCCCCCCGGGTCCCCCTGGGTCCCCCCGTGTCCCCCCGTGTCCCCCTGCCCAGGGCCGCCCGATCCTCAGTGCCACCTTCCCTTCCCGCTCCCCTCCGGCCCACGGCTCAGCCCGGGCCGGGCGGGGTCTGGGGACCCCGGTGTGTGTGGAAGTTTGGGGACCCCGGGTGTGTGTGGATTATGGGGACCCCCGGGTGTGTGTGGAAGTAAGGGGGCTCCCAGGTCCACCAATCTTACTTTTTAAAAAATATATTTTAGCCGAAACCGGTGTGGCTCAGTGGATAGAGCGTCGGCCTGCGGGCGGAAGGGTCCCAGGTTTGATTCAGGTCAAGGGCATGCACCTTGGTTGTGGGCACATCCCCAGTAGGGTGTGTGCAGGAGGCAGCTGATGGATGATTCTCTCTCATCGATGTTTCTAACTCTCTATCCCTCTCTCTTCCTCTGTAAAAATCAATAAAATATATTTAAAAAATATAAATAATATAGTTTAAAAATCAATAAAATGTATTTTAAAAATGTATATTTATAATATATAATACATTTAAAAATGTATATATATATATTTAAATATATGTATTGATTTTTTACAGAGGAAGAGAGAGGGATAGAGAGTTAGAAACATCGATGAGAGAGAATCATCCATCAGCTGCCTCCTGCACACCCCCTACTGGGGATGTGCCCACAACCAAGGTACACGCCCTTGACCGGAATCGAACCTGGGACCCTTCTGTCCGCAGGCCGACGCTCTATCCACTGAGCCAAACTGGTTTCGGCCCGATTTTGCTTGTTTTCAGTCGGGTCAAGTTTCTAAGCTTGCTAAATCTCCATTTCCGGCTAATGAAAATAAAATAGGATTCCGCCGAGTCTCCTATCTCCCTACTCCAGGACTTCTGTGAGGATCAAATGAGATGAGGCTTGGGAGCTTCGCAGACATTTGGTTAAAGTGTAAAATGTTTGCACCTGGCTATAAAGGAAGTTGTGTTCCTGGCTGAAGGAACTCCTAGGAGGCTAGTCACTAGGGAGAGGAAGCCGGGCGTTGCTACGTGACGTCATTACCCAGCGCCCACAGTGCCCGTTTGGGACTGGGCTGTGGACTGTGGGCCGCCTCTTGCACCATGGGGTCTTGGCAGTGTTGGCTGCAGTTTGGTGGGGTGTCACTCTGGGGGGGCCTGTGTACCACTTGGGGGAAGCCGAGTGCTGGTTTGTCAGAGCCAGGTCCGTGGTGCCATTTATTTTTAAATGGCCAGTGCACGTCATGGCAGCTCCTGTGTTGGGTGTCTGCCCAACACAGGTGTCTGCCCCCTCAATGTCAGTACACGTCATAGCGAGTGGTCGAACTCCTAGTCTCCTGGTGGCACGACCACCTGAGGCAACAGTGTGCACATTAGGCTTTGATTATATAGGCTGGGTGGTCCCATTTCATCTCAGTGTCTTTTAAAAACATTAGACTTATAATTTGGAGATATGGTGTGATTTCTGTGCATCTGTGAGAAATAACAGTGAGAGAGCTTACAGACCCTGTGCCTGGTTCCTCCTGGTGGTGCCAGCCTGCCACACTCTGGTACAAGATGAAAACCAGAGTGTCCACTCGCTAGCCCTTGGAGGCTTGTGTCAGCGATCATCCTCATTTTTATTCATGATTTCACGTGGGTTTAGAGATGCGTACAGGCCTGCTTCTGGCCGCCCACGTGGTTAGTGTAGAGTCAGGCGTTGGCCAAGGTCTTCAGATTTCCTGGCATTGCCATTACCAGTGTGACGTCTCTGGGAAGGGGGGGAATTCAGTTCACTTGTTCGTTCGTTCATTCATTCATTCATTCATTCATTCAACAAACACTTGGTTGTACCTTCTCTGGGCCAGCTACTTTCCTGTGGGTAATCTGATTTAATTCTTCAGCAGTACTGCCAATCATGCACTCTGGTTTCCTTTCCATACCCGACAGTATGGGCTCAGACGGCTTAGGAAAGCTCTCCCAGGGAGGTAAATGTGGAGCACCCTCGCTTTTTTTAAAAATACATTTTATTGACTTTTCACAGAGAGGAAGTGAGAGGGATAGAGAACTAGAAACATTGATGAGAGAGAATCATCGATCAGCTGCCTCCTGCACACCCACTACCGGGGATGTGCCCGCAACCAAGGAACATGCCCTTGATCGGAATCAAACCTGGGACCTTTCATTCCTCAGACCGACGCTCATCCACTGAGCCACACCGGTGAGGACCCCTCTTGTAATGCCAGGCAGCATGCTGGGCATTTCCCCTAGCAACCTGCCTTAGCCCGGATAGCTTCTCAGAAGGCAAGTTTTCTTTTTTTTTTTTTTTTAAATATATTTTATTGATATTTTACAGAGAGGAGGAAGGGAGAGAGATAGAGAGCTAGAAACGTCGATGAGAGAGAAACATCGACCAGCTGCCTCTTGCACATCCTCTACCAGGGATGTGCCCGCAACCAATGTACATGCCCTTGACCGGAATTGAACCTGGGACCTTTCAGTCCGCAGACCGACGCTCTACCGCTGAGCCAAACCGGTTTCGGCCTCTCCGTGGTTTTGCAGCTGAGCAGCTTAGGCCGCCTGGAGTTCAAGTCCAGACCCGGGGATTCCACGGTGGCTCTTCTCACTGTATTCCCATTCGCTCCCTCCGTCACGCAGCAAGCTCTCCTGAGCGCTGAGGGCACCAGTGCCCTGCCGGGCGGGGGCAGAAGGTGAGGGGCAGCCACTTTTCTGCAGGAGCTCGGAGCTCAGTCCAGGAGTTGGGGGGTCTGTGGTGGGAGCTGTGACAGTCACCTGCAGAACTTGGGGGACACGCTGTATTCCATGGCTTCACGTGGGGCTCACCCTGCCTCCCAGGTGGCCACCGCGGGCCTCATAGTCTCCTCTGGTGTCTTCGGCAGGGACTCCGCCATGAGCGTCCCGGACTACATGCAGTGCGCCGAGGACCACCAGACGCTGCTCGTGGTGGTGCAGCCCGTGGGGGTGGTCTCGGAAGAGAACTTCTTCCGGATCTACAAGAGGATCTGCTCCGTGAGCCAGATCAGCGTGCGGGACTCGCAGCGCATGCTGTACATCCGCTACCGGCACCACTACCCGCCCGAGAACAACGAGTGGGGCGACTTCCAGACCCACCGCAAGGTCGTGGGCCTCGTCACCGTCACCGACTGCCGCGCGGCCAAGGACTGGCCGCAGACCCTGGAGAAGTTCCACGTGCAGAAGGAGATCTACGGCTCCACGCTCTACGACTCCCGGCTCTTCGTCTTCGGGCTGCAGGGCGAGGTCGCCGAGCAGCCGCGCACCGACGTGGCCTTCTACCCCAGCTACGAGGCCTGCCCGGGCGTGGAGAAGCGCATTGAGGACTTCATCGAGTCGCTCTTCATCGTGCTGGAGTCCAAGCGCCTGGACCGGGCCACCGACAAGTCTGGGGACAAGGTCCCCCTGCTCTGCGTCCCTTTCGAGAAGAAGGACTTTGTCGGCCTGGACACGGACAGCAGGTAAGTTCACTCGGAGGTCCCGGGTCCCGGCTGTGAGCTGGGGGGGGTGGGGGGTGGGGGGTTCCTGACCCCAGGAGGGACGCGGGTGGAACTTACGGCAGGAAAGGGTAGAAAAGTGCAGTCCGTTCCTGTTCAGACTTTTCAAAAACGGGACAGCCTCTGCTTTGGGGAAATCCTCCGAGGGTTAGTGTGTCACCGACGCCCCTTTCCAGCCGCTTCCCCTGGTGGAACCCCAACTCAGCGGCCAGAGCCCCTGTGGCTCCTGAGCGGAGGTGCTGTCTGAGAAATGCACATCAGCCTCGGAGACTCGGAACGGAAAGAAGTGATGTAGAACCCTCGTTAATACTTTGGTATCGATACATGTCAGATCGATAACACTTGGCGTATTTTAGCTTAAGACCACTTCCAGTAATTTGGTCTTTACTTTTGTAAACGTGGCGCCTGGAGACGTTGACTCGTGGCGCACGCGGTGCCCCTGGGGGCTGTGCCGCCCGGAGCCCGGGGGAAGCATCCTTGTTCAGGGCCAGCCCGTGGCCATCTGAGAGGCCGCGTCTGAGAGGGGCGGGGCTAGGAGCCAGCTGAGCTGGGGCGGGCCTGTGTCTCCTGGTGCCCAGACTGGGTCAGCCCTGCTCTCGCACTCGGAAGCCACAGTGTCAGACCCATGGGCTCAGGGCACCATCCGAGACTCCCCAGAGCACCCCTTACTCAGACGGGCCCGTGTCTCCAGTGTCCGCAGAGCAGGGACTGTGGCTGGGGCAGAAGGATTTCTGTTAAGTGACAGCCTCACTCTGCACCGGAATTGCAGATCAGCGCTTCTGGGGCTTTTCTCTCTCTCCCTGTCTCCCTCTCCCCCTCTCTTCCTGTCTCCCTGTCTCCCTGTCTCCCTCTCCCCCTCTCTCCCTGACTCCCTGTCTCCCTCCCTGTCTCCCTGTCTCCCTCCCTCCCTGTCTCCCTGTCTCCCTGTCTCCCTCTTCCCTGTCTCCCGGCTGCCATGGCGGCATCTGTTCAGCAGAGGACTAGATGCCAGCCAGGGCTCCACTGCTTGCCAAGACGTGGCCCCTTTGCTAGGGGAGCCGGGAGCCGTGCGGCTGGGCTTCCTGCCTCGGGCACTCTGGTTTTCCCTCCCTCAGCGTAGACTTCAGACTTGTCTCGTGTGAGGAGTCACTGACATGTTCACTGGGCTGAGGCCTGCTGCCAATCGGTGCTCAGTGTGTTTCTTGAATTGACCCTAAGTAAGGTGACCAGATGACCCGCTTTTGGCGGGACAGTACCAATTTTTAACAATTTGTCCCACGTCCCGCAGCCTTTTAAAAAAGTCCCAGTTTTTGGAAAGAATCTTTTAAATCTCTTGGACTTTTTAAAAATTGGAACAATTTTTGGAACAAATTGTTAAAAATCGGGACTGTCCCACCAAAAGCGGGACGTCTGGTCACCTTACCTAAGGTCACACACTGCATTTCTGGTTGTTGCTGCGTCGGCAGAGAAAATGTCACAGAATTGAGCAAAAAATTGGCCCAGGATGGCTCTGCCCATGAGAAGGCAGATCAGTCCATCAAGCTGCGTGTGGTGCCTTGCAGGGTCTGGAATAGTTTTCTTTCTTTTTAAAAAAAAATATATTTTATTGATTTTTTTTTTTTACAGAGAAGAAGGGAGAGGGATAGAGAGTTAGAAACACTGATGAGAGAGAAACACCTATCAGCTGCCTCCTTCACACCCCCCGCTGGGGATATGCCCGCAACCAACGTACATGCCCTTGACCGGAACTGAACCTGGGACCCTTGAGTCTGCAGGCCGACGCTCTATCCACTGAGCCACACCGGTCAGGCCTGGAGTAATGTTCACTTCCTCCCGGACACCTCTCTGTGGTCTGAGGGAAGGACAGGCAGGCCATGCCCACGACCCACGCTGACTGCAGTGGCCCTGGGCCCTGTGCCCACTCCTCGGAGCTGGGGCGGGCTGGGAGTCTGGGCGGCTGTCGAGGGCAGAGCAGCTGAGCCTCCTGGGCTGTCAGTGCTCCTCCCTGTGGAGTGGGGCTCATAGCGCACCCGCTCCCCGTCCTCCCGTGTCACCAGCCTGCGGAGGCAGGACGGGTTTCTCCCCTGCACAGGCTGCTGGGCCACTTTCGCTTACTGACTTCTCGGCTTCGAGGCCGCATCCTGTTCTAACTGCTCTCCCATTTGGACTCCCGTGGGATACCAGTGACCCCCAGTCAGACCCGTTCCCCTAGTCCCCGGTTACCTGCTGTGGCCCCCACGGCTCCACGGTTCTCTCACCTTCCCCACAATGCTTTGGGCAGGGGCAGAGCCCAGGTCTCACCTGCAGCTCTTGGTGGGAGGGATACAGAGCGTCATGGGAGATGAGACAGGACTTTGGAGCCCGGAGGGAAATGTCCAGGGGTAGGTCTTGCTTGGGTTTGGCAAACTGACCCCCTGATGGCTTCTTGGCAGAAGCCGCTAGCTTCAGGCCCAGGCCTCCGGGAGCCCAGGCGGGGGCGGGGCTTACTCAGGCGTCAGGTGTGTCCCCAGCCACCTCGGTGCCCTGCCCGCCGTAAATCCTAGGTGCTGTCCACGGAGAGTCGTAGCTGCCAGTTATTTTTGTTCTTACGTGTTTCTAATTTTTGCTTGTTCCTCTTTCCTTCCTTTTCCTTTCCTTTCTCCTGTACCGCCCTGTGAGTATGTTGTTGGGTCTGAAAAGGTAGGCTGGGGACGTTGTGCTGGGGACGTAGCTAGATTCCATCCGGCTGCCTCCGCCTCGCCGCCATTGCTTTCACAACAAAACCGTGCTGCTGCCTTGACCGTGTGGCATCCTGGTCATCCTTTTGTTTTCTAGAACTTTGTTAAAAGCCGTAGCTGCTTTAGCATGTAACCCGCTGGCGTTTGGTCTCTGTTGAATACCTGCTTTGGGGACCTTGTTTGTTCTCACTTCGTATTTGTAACCAGCGAGCCTGTGTGAGTTCTCTCATTCGTACGAGGAAGGGAGGTGCTCATGGTTCTGGTGGGCGCAGAGGGCTCCCTCCTGGGCTGCTTAGCCTAGAAGGCGGAGCGCCTCACTTGGTTCTGGCTTTTAACCCAGCGCATCTGGCACGGGCTCCCGGCTGCGGCTGTGTGCATGGCGGAGTTTCGTGGCCGCGGCCACCGGCGAAGGGGCGCCGACGGAGGAAGCGGTTCCCGGAGTTCCTCTCGCTTTCCCCTGGAGCATGCCGGGACTTTGCTTCGCTTAGCAGCCTCCAAAGGGGCGGAGGCCCCTCGCAAAACAGCACCGGCCCCGTGCCCTTGCCCAGCGCCCTTTCCCGAGGGTCAGGAAGACACCGCGGCCCCCAGTCCTGTGGACGCCCGGACCTGTCCCTGACCCGGTGCCCTCTCCTCCAGCCAGACACGCGGCTCACCTCCCACAGTCGTCCTTGACCCTGAACCCCGTGTTGGTCGGAAGTGGCTGCTTCTGCGTGTGTCGAGGCTGATGTGTGTCACTGAGGGGCATGTCCCGAAGGCACCATCTCTGGTGGCCTGGGACTCGCCCCGCCCCGGGGGAAAGGGTTTGCCACCCCCACGGCCAGGAGGCCTGGGCTCTTTAATGCTCTGGTCCAAGTGTGAGCGGTTTCACGGCGGTGGAGACGGGATGCCTTCCTGCAGGGCGCGGCCCCGTTCTGGGGTTGGGAGGACAAAACACAGATGAGGGCGGCAGGTCCCAGAGCCGGAAGCTGTGCCGCTTGGAACATGTGCGGGGGGATCCCTAAGGGCAGGCCACGTCCTGGACCGCAGGGCCTGTGCGGTCACTCGCCTGCTCCCAGGGGGTTGGTGCGAGAATAGCCTCGCTGGTTCCTCCTTTCTCCTGGCTCCCCTATGCCTGAGCCCAGGCCACTCCGAGCCGGCAGGCCCCTCTCCTGCGCCACCTCCTGGCCTCTAAGTGACCCGGGGAGAGGGGGAGCGGAGAGGGGAGGGAGGGCGGGAGACCTTCCTCTCAGGGCTGTGGCTCCCAGCTGTCGGCATGCAGAGTCCTGTGCGGGGAAGCGTTCAGGCAGGATGCTGTAAAGCAAATTTTACTGTCAGGTTAGGAGTGAATTCCATTGGAAAACCACGTCTCATTCACCATCTCCCGAGGGTCAGTAGAACGGCAGCCCTGTAAACTCAGCGCGGTCACAGTGGAGAGCCATGGCACCTTGGACAGTCCCTTTCCTGCCAGAGCAGGAGAGCGTAGCAGGCTAGGGGCCCCGCACTGCCCTCCTGTGGCCGGCAGAGGGACCCGCTCTCGGGGGCGCAGGGAGCTGAGGCCTGAAGGTCAGTGCTGCTTGTATGATTCTCCCGTTATTTCACATCCGACCGAGAAAGGAGTTCCTGCCTCTGCAGCTCGTTGGCCTCAGAGTGAGACCCGCGAGCAGCTGTTAACTGAGCCTTTTCCTGGCACGTTTGTGAGGACACTTGGATCCGGGGGCCGGGTTGTGATAACAAAAACAAATGTTTTTATTGATTTTAGATAGAGAGGAAGGGAGAGAGAGAGAGAAACATTGATGAGAGAGAAACACTAACACTGATTGGCGGCCTCCTGAAGGCCCCCGTTTTAAGCCTGCAGCCTGGGCATGTGCCCTCACCGGGCAGCGGACCAGTGACCTCTTGGGGCATGGGACACGCTCAGCCAATTGAGCCAGCCTGGCCAGGCTGGGCTGTAATTTTGCTCTTTGTTCTTCCCTTCCCTCCTCTCTCTTTCTCCTCTTCCCAAATGCCCCCCCCCCCCCCCACCGAGGTCATGGCCTAAATGGAAGGGATGGACAGACACCCAGACAGGAACGAGGCTGGCCTGCTACGGAGGGCAGCCCCGCCGAGAGCTGGAGGGATTTCCGGGGAAGGTCATTGAGTTCTCAGGATGAAGTCAGCGTGAACGAGGGGAAGGGGCGGAGAGGGGGCTCAGGGGAGAGGAGGCGGGCAGCAGGGGGCTGTGGGGAGCGGTAGTCCCTCCCTGCTTCTGGGAGAGGAGGGGGAGGGCAGGAGCGCCACGCGGACATTTGC